CCAGGCTCCTTATTTCCACCCCTGTGCAGCTCCCCTTTCTCGCCACCATTGTAACGTATTTCTGACCCTCACATACACTTGATCGCTCCCTGCATATCTTTCCTACAAGACTAACAGCCCCTAAGTTATCTGTTTCTCTCATAAACTGACAAATTGATTTTAGATTCTGTAAAGTTCAACAGCATTTTGTTCCACTTGTAATAAAAAAGAAAGGAAGAAAGAAAAAGCCTACAGGTGGCCAACATGTTATAATTTCCCGAATACACTGTACTTTAAAAAGTTAGCATCAAACATCATTTCACAAACGACATAACTCGATTTTATATGCACAAAAGCTGAAAAAGTGACTTTGGGTTTGTCAGGGTGCTAAAAATAACTGCTCTGCCTATTTAACTTTTCTCCAAGTTGTCTGTTTCAAAGCACACGTAAACAAAAAGACACTGTTTTTCCATTCTTTCAATATTTTCCAGTTTCGTATCTCAAGTCAGCACCACACCATGCAGCAGGCAATTATTCTTTAATTGTGTCATTTTCCTCCATTTACTTCTCCCCTACTAGATGACAAACGCCCTGCGGGCAGCAGTGAGGTCCTCTGTGTACCAGCGCCCATGCAGAGGGCTGGGGGCAGGCTCAGCGACAGGTAGACAGCGACCCCGGTGGTCACACTTCACATGTGGTTCACACCTCTAAGGTCCTCTGCCTTTCCTGGAACACACTGTTTTGGGAAAAGTCCTTCAGCTCCCACATTTGTGGGCTAAGGGAGGGAACTGTGAGCAGAGCCCAGCAAAGGCCTTCATCCAATCCTACCGCCTGCTGGGCTCCTGGGCCCACCCTCCTGGCTCTCGTTGACTGGTCAAAAATATGGCCAGTTTAGATAAAATCCTGTTTTGTTCATAGTAACCACGCCCCCTCCCCCTTCCACCAGACTGGCCAAGCGCACTTAAAATTCTAAGGCCTCCATATGAAAAAGGAATCCTCAGTAAGCTTCAGGAGGCCACCCACCCACAGAGGGCATGGGGAGGGGGCGGCAGGGAATGACCCCTGCTCCACATCGCACATCTGTTTTGCTCAATCCCTGGCTAGAATCGAAGGGAACCCGGGGTGGAAGGGAATCAGGCAGTGTACACCTCCCGTGCCAAGCTGGAGGGGAAGGGGTTTGGGGGACGCCGCCTGGTGCCCTAGAGGGGTGGGCCGCCAGTCCCAAGTGCTGAGTCAGGGCCCACTGGGCGCTGTCCGCCCCGCAGCGCTCCCGCCCCCCATCTCTGGCGATTTGGGCGGCTGTGGGGTGCGGCCCCGGGCGGTGGGAAGCCAGGTGCGCAACGGCGGGCTCCAGACGTACCAGGCCCGGCACAACAAAAGCCCTGGTTTGGGAGAAGGCCGGGGAGGCGCGGGAGGCGCGCGAGGAGGGGGCGCCGGGAGCTCCCGGAGCCTGCATTGGCCGCCCGCCACCGGGAGGCGGAGCCGCAAATCCTTGCAGCGCAATAAATGGCCGGCCCGGCGCGAGCCCGCAGCGCACACATCCATAGAAGGCAGTGGAGGTAGCCGGGTCTCGGGCCGCGCGCGCTACCTCGCCCCGCCGCCCCTCACCCGCTTTCTTCTCCGCCGCGTAACCCGCTGCCCGGCTCCCGCTGGCCCCTCGCCGCCCCGGCGACAGAGACCCGAGAAAGTTTGTGCGGCGAGTGCGGGCCGGGTGCGGAGGGCGCGCCCGCGGAGCGCAGCGGAGACCCGCGCAGCCCCCGCCCGCCGAGAGGGGA